AGTTACCCTGAAATAGACAAGCAAAAAATGAACGAAAGGTGCCATACAGCTGAAACATCTTCCCAGCAGCTGATTTTCTCCAGCCATTCGGAGAAGGCCTCTGGATGCCTTGGAGGGAAATCATCCAGAGACCATGGTTTACCATGAAAGAAGTCTGGTAAAAGCACATGAGCATTGGTCTGGTCGGCAAGCATATCAGCGAAACGGCGAGTATTATTGATAGCGAAACCGAAGATGTCATGTACAATAACGATTGCCATACTTGCGGGACTCAGGCTACCATTTGGAACTGCGTAAGCACGACTTTTGTCTGGTAACTCAATCTCTTTTCCGCGACAATGGTAAGTAAAGGGAGGAACTGCTAGATGTCTTGATTCAAGAGACTTGTTGAAGCCGGGATCAGATTTATCCTGAGTAAACTCCATTTATCTAGAAAGGGGATAAAAGTGCACCTCTCTAATTGGGGAAAAACGAAGTAAGTTTAGTGTGCAAAAAACCACTACGGCGATGGCAAAACGCAAGGATTCCTCGAGAAAATTTAATGATAAGATTTCCAGAATAACATATTTTCATAAAAAGGTGAGAGTTAGCAAGGCTGTCAACAAAAATCTCATAGAGAAAAAAGTGAAAATCTAGATTTCGCGAAGTTCTGCCGGAAGTTCAGCTTTGGGATGTTTGCTTTCGAAGTGCATTTTATACGTCTTCGGATCCGGCATCTGCGTCTTACAAACACAACATGAGAAGGTCAATTTGGCATCGGCCGCTTTCTTGTTATCTGATGGATTCCTTTTAGCATTCTGCCTTTCTTGATTTCTCTTTTGCGACTGAATCTTCTGAAGTCCGCGTGCCATATTGAGGAACACCGAGTACCGCGCAAATCAAATAACCTGTTTTACTAAATCGAGTGACCCAATTGACCATGCCATGAAAAGTGACTACGTTTACAGACGAACATGATTTACTTTGAAGCTGTTAGGCAATATCGGCGTTACATAAATATTCTTACATTACCAACATATACGCAACAGCTATAACAGCCAACCACAGGCTTTTATATATCTGTCATATGCACATTTATTAAAACATACAATGGTAAAGATTTACAATTTTTTTGTAAACACATATACAAAAAAAACAAAATAAATGCTAATGATGTGCTAATCAGCAAGGTTCTTTAAGGAGCAATTACAGATTTCCATTGTTAAAAGAGTAATTTTAAAACGTTCCTGTCAAAGCAGAAGAAATGTATTCTGCTTCCTTATGCCTAGGGAAAGCATAACACTATACTACTGCAAGTATATGTATTGTCCCTGGACTTCTCACAGGGTGGAAGGAGGCAGTGATTGAGGTTGGATACATGTATTCCGAAGCTAACACAGCCAATGGGCTGGAGCGTGCGCTGGTTTAGTCTGAAATTCGGACATCTGCACAAGTGAGTGACAAATAACAAGACGACCACAATTCCCCTACTTTGCTATATAATAAAAACCGTCGTAGATCCCCTCTCATTTTGGGGAAATTCATTCGTCTTATTTGTACACCTTGTAAACAGAGCTGTCACATCCCATCCATCAAGGTAATATCCTCGACCCAGCCGCACCAGTTATCATTTGCCATGGCATCAGATATATGTGCTTGCAACCTGTAGCGTCGCGAGACTTCCCATAGAGTGGCGGAATGCATAATAGAGGCTGAGTGGATGCATTCCTAAGAGCGCAGATCAAATGAGCCTGGGCATGATCCGAAGGCCAACTCACGTGTAGAGGGGCCAGACAATTCCTAAAGTTACCGCTAAACGCCAGGTAGTCACCTGAGCAAAGTACTACACTCTTCTTTTGAGCAGGGACCTCGGCGTTCCTCTTGGTACACATCCCGCTCCCGTCATCACAACATTTTCGGTACTACAAGAAGGCACCCACGAGCCATCCGCGC